TGTATTCCTGTTACTCCTTCCAAAGTGAATCACCTCACACTTTTCCGCATTAAACTCCATTTGCCACCTCTCAGCCCAGCTCTGCAGCTTATCTATGTCCCTCTGTAACCTGCAACATCCTTCCGCACTATCCACAACTCCACAGACTTTGGTGTCATCTGCAAATTTACTAACCCATCCTTCTACGCCCTCATCCAGGTCATTTATAAAAATGACAAACAGCAGTGGCCCCAAAACAGATCCTTGAGGTACACCACTAGTAACTGAACTCCAGGATGAACATTTCCCATCAACCACCACCCTCTGTCTTCTTACAGCTAGCCACTGGAACAAAACCTGAGGATTCATCAAAAGTGATTATAGGGACCAATGGAGTTGGACGACTGGGATTTCCCCAACCATTTAGCATGTGTTGAATGTTTTGCAGAACAGAATTTCATCCCTGTGCAATTCCAAGCAGGAAAAGCTCCGAGAGCCTTCAGGACCTTGACAATCCTGAGCAATGACTCTACTCACTGGGTTTTGAGGCAACACTTGGCAATGGTACTGTTGCTATGGTGTTATGACTTATTTATTTAATTGATACAGTCTTTTCTCAAGATTCTTTAGCCATTCCAACAACTGAAACTTGTTTTCAAGTTAAATCACAATCCCAGTATTATTCACAAATGATTATTATCGCAGGATCAACAATAGTTCATTGCAATCCCAAAAAGAATTGGAAAATTCCCTTCTCCAAGACTCATCAGCATTTTGGCACAGACCACAATATTCCACAATGCATTACCATTCCCGAATATTCCACAATTCACCACTGTCCCAGAATATTCCACAATCGATCACAATCCCAGAATGTTACACAATTCATTACCATTTCAGATTATTCCATAATTCACCACAATCCCAAAGTATTCCACAATTCACCACAGTCCTAGAATATTCCTCAATTTACCACAATCCCAGTTTGTTCCACCATTCACTACCATCCCAGAATATTCCACAATTCATCATAATCCCAGAATGTTCCAGAATCCATTATCCTCCCAGAATGTTCCATAATTTGTCACAGTCCCAAAATATTCCACACTTAAGCACAATCCGAGAATAATGCACAATTCATTGCCATCCTAAAACATTCCACAAATCATCACTGCCCCTGAATATGCCACATTTGATGGCCATCCCAGAATAATCCACAATTTATCACAATCCCAAAATGCTACACAATTCACTACCATCCCAAATTGTTCCATAATTTACCACAATCTCAGAATATTCCACAATATTTGCAAAGTATGCCAACATTCATCACAATCCTGGAATGTTTCATAATTCACCATTATCCCAGAAAATTCCACAACTCACACAATCCCAGATTATTCCACAATTCACCACCATCCCTGAATATTCCAGAATTCATTACTGCATAAGAATATTCCACAGGCCACTACCATCTCAGAAAATTTCATAATTCATCACATTCCCAGAATATTCTACAATTCAGGACATTCCCAGAATATTCCAAACCCCAAATTACCCATACTTCATCACAATGCCAGGATAATGGATTAAAGTGAGTTAATAAACCCAGGGTCTTACTTTTCATAGTCGTGTTTGCAGTACAGCTGCCTGTCCCGGCAGTAGCAGGTCCCAGAGAGTGGTTGCAGGCATGTTGTACATTTTAAACAAGATTCGTGCCAGGAGCGTTCATTGACACGCAGGATATAGCGATCGGTGATGGTGAGTTTGCAGCCTGCACACATCTGACCTGGTTCCTGCCCTGAGCCTAGACAATGACATTCTGCAATGAGTTTACAGAAAAGGATTTCCTCCCCTCGTCTGCCCTGCTCATGCACAGATCCCTGACCCTCACCATCTTACACGTCCCCTCCCTTCACCCTGGCGCACCTTATCTGTGGGTGTGTGTCATCTACAGGATTGGGGAAAATCATCAAAACTCGCTCAACAGCAACTCTTAAATCTGCTACCCTAGCCGCCTGAAAGGAGTTTTGCAATGCCTGGGAATGCCCCATGCCTCATTCACTTGACCAAAACCATATCTGATGCCCTCTTCCCATTCTCCCATGGCAGATGTACTGATGCCAACACCAATGGGGCAAGACGATGGATACTTATTAGTGACTTATCAGGGAACAGGTCAATGAGGAAGCAATACTTACTGCTGTCGCATGTGGGAGAAGTTTGTTTCAAACACGTTGGCGTCTCTTCTGTTTTCATGTTGCCTGACACATTCAGAACCTATCAAACAGAATGGATAAACGTTAATTCAATGACAAACAAAACATGGCCGCAATGTTGAACCAAATTTCGACCTGTGACGTTACAACAGAGAATGCTGGAGAACCTCAGCAGATCTGGCAGTGAATGTGGACAGAGACACAGTTAACACCTTCACTATAACATCATTAGACCAGCTACGTGGGACTGTTCCACCGTTACATAGGATCATGGCTGATCCAACATTCCTCGCATTCAGTTTCCTGCCCTTTCCTTGTAGCCCTAGTTTCTCGACTGATCAAGAATCTAACCATCTCAGCCTTAAATATACACAAGGACTTTGTCCCCACAGCTCTCTGTAGAAAGAAGCTCCAAAGACTCACAACCTTCTGAGAGAAGCAGTTCCTCTTCATCTCTGTCTTATATTGATGTCCATTTATTTGGAAACTATGCTCTGTAGTCCTAGACTCTCCCAAGAGGGAAAACATCCTCAGCATTTACCCTGACAAGACCCTTAAGAATCCTATATGTTTCAATGAGATCACCTCTCGTTCTTCTGAACTCCAATGAGTACAGTCCAGACCTTTGCACAAAAGACAATCCGTCTATATGAGGGATCATTCTAGTGAACCTTCTCCGAAATTTCTCTAATTAAATTATATCTTTCCCTAAACAAGGGAGATCAAAACTGTTCACAGTACTCAGATGTGGTCTCATCAGTACCTTGTAAAGTTACAGTAAGACTTCCCAACTCTTATACACCAACCCCTTTGAAATAAGGGCCAACATTCCTTTAGCTTCCTGATTCCCTGCTGCCCCATGTGCTAGCTTTCTGTGTTTCGTGCACAAGTACCTCCCAGTCCCTCTGTGTTGCAACTTTCTGCAGTTTTTCTCTTTTTTAGGTAATACTGTTCTTTCATTCTCCCTTCCAAAATGAACAAATTCACATTTGCCCACATTGTATTCCATTTGCCAATTTTTTACTCCCTTAATCTATCAATATCTCTCTCTAAACTTTTTGTTTCCCTTTTGCAACTTGCCTTTCCACCTATTTCTGTATCGTCTGCAAATTTGGCTATAGTGTTCACTTCCTTCCTCTAAGTTACTAATATATATTATAAACAGTTGCAGTTCCAGCACTGATCCCTGTGGAAACCAGCTAGTTACAGTTCACCACCCTCAAAAAGGGCATTTATTCCCATTCGCTATTTCCTGCCTATTAGACAACTCTAACCAAACTCAGCTTGAGACCCAGACCAACCACAGAGACACCTGTTGCTATGCCAAGGCTTACACAACATAACCCGCTACAAAGTGAAATCAAACAGAATTGTGGGCAGCAGTACATCCCTACCCAATGAGCTCAATGCATTCTACATTCACTTTGAACAGGAGCTCAGTGAAATAATATCACCGGTCCCAACAGCCTCGGGGGCACACACACCCACGGTCACCGCTGCAGATATTAGATTGACCTTCTTGTGAGTGAACCCACAGAAAGTGACTGGCCTGGATGGAGTCCCGGCCATGCACACCAGCTGGTGGGAATATTCGCAGACATCTTCAACCTGTCCCTACAACGATCTGAAACCCACACCTGCTTCAAGACCACCATCGTCCCAATGCCAAAGAAAAATCAAGCAGCGTGCCTGAATGTCTACCACCTGGTGGTTCTGACATCTATCATCATGAAGTGTTTTGAGAGGTTAGTCATGGCTCACGTCAACTCCAGCCTCCCAGATTCCCTTGATCCTTTGCAATTTGCCTATTGGCGCAACAGATCCATGGCAGACACCAATTCCCTGGCCCTGGAACATTTGGATGACAAGGGTACCCACATCAGACTCCTACTTATTAATTACAGTTCCACCTTCAACCCCATTATTCCAAACAAACTCATCTCTAAACTGCAAGCCCTAGGTCTCAGCTCCCTGCTCTGTAAGTGTATTCTGGTCTTCCTGACCCATAGACTGCAGTCAGTAAGAAAAGGTGACCTCTCCACCATAATCCTCAACACCGGTGCCCCACAAGGCTGAGTATCCAGCCCCCTACTGTGTTCCTTATACACTCTCAACTGTCTGACCAAATTCTGCCCCAACTCCATTTACAAGTTTGCTGGTGACACCACCATTGTAGGTTGGATCTCGAACAACAACGAGACAGAATACAGGATTGAGTGCTTGGTGGCACGGTGTAAAGATAAACAACCTCTCCACCAACATCAGCAAAATAAAGGAGCTGGTCATTGACTTCAAGAAGTGGAGTGGGGGGGGGCACGCTCCTGTCTGCATCAATGGTGCTGAGGCAGAGATGGTCGAAAGCATCAAGTTCCCAGGAGTGATGATCAACAATCTGTCCTGGTCCACCCATGTCAATGTGATGGTCAAGAAAGCACAACAATGTCTCTACTTCCTCAGGAGGCTAAGGAAATTTGGTATGTCAACGAAAACTCTGAGCAATTTTTATAGAAAGCATCCTATCTGGATGCATCAGTGTGGTATTGCAACTGGTCTTCCCAAGACTGCAAGAAAATACAGGAAGTTGTGAGCACAGCCCAGCCTATCACACAAACCAGCCTCCCATCTATTGACTCCATCTATACTTCCTGCTGCCTCAGGAAAGCATCCAACAGAATTAAAGACCCCTCCAACCCTGGTTACACTCTCTTTCACAGTCTTCCTTTGGGACAGAAGATATAAAAGATTGAATACACGTACAAACAGATTCAAGAACAGCTTCTTCCCCACTATTACAGACTTTTGAATGGTCCTCTCAAATGCCTCCTTATATGCTTTATCTTTCAACTTTACCCGCAACTTAACTTCCTTGGTTAGGCATGGTTGGTTTATTCCCGTTAGAATCTTTTGTCCTTACTGGGATGTATTTTTACTGAGAGTCATGAATTACCTCCTTAAATGTCTGCCACTGCTTGCTACCATCATTCCTGCTAATCTATCTCCCCAGTTCACTTTAATCCACTCTACCCTCATTTCAGTGTAATTCCCTTTATTTAAGTTAAACTCTTTTGTTTCCAACCCTAGTTTCTCACTCATGAATAGAATATTAAATTTGATTATGTTACAGCCACTCCCCCCTAGGGGACCGTTTAGTCGAAGGTAATTTATTAAACCTGCCTTGTTACCTATTACCACATCCAGGATAGCCTGCTCCCTGGTTGGGTCCATGACATACTGTTCTAGGAAACTATCCCTAATGCATTCTATCAATTTGTTATCATAGCTACCCTTTCCAATTTGATTAACCCAATTAACATGAAAATTAAAGTCACCCATAATTATTGCTCTATTCTTTTTACATGTTCCTATTATTTGTTGATTTATAGCCTTTGTCACAGAGTGGCTATTATTTAGGGATCTATACTCTACCCCTATCAATGCCATCTCTCTCAACTGTCCTCATTTCATTTCCTATTGACAGGGCTATTCACCTCATTTTCCATGTCTCCTGTTCCTCCGAAAGTTCTAATATCCTTCAATGTTAAGTTTCCAGTTTTGACCTCCTTATAGCCATGTCGCTGTAATGGCTATGAGACAATTTTCATTTACCTTGATTTGCGCCTTCAGTTCATCTACCTTATTCCGAATGCTTCATGCATTAAGATACAAAGCCTTTACGTTTGTTCTGTTATCGAGTTTCCCTACACTTGTGGGGTCTGTTGGTACAATATAACATTCACATGTTCTGTATCTTCCTTTATTTCTGGTAATGCTCAGCCCCATCACTGACCTGCAATCCTACCTTCTCCTTTATCTTTGATTTTATCATTTTCCTTGCAACTGAAGCACACCCCAATTATTTTGTTTAAAGCCCTACCTAGATCCCCAGTTGTGTGATTCACCAGGAGTCTGGTCCCAGCATGATTCAGCTGGAGACTATTCTCTCCTTCCCCAGTACTACGCCAATGTCCCCTGAATTCAAACCCATTTCTCCCACACCAAACTTTGACCCACATATTTATCTCTTTAATCTTGTTTAATCCTCTGTCAATTAGCTCATGTTTCAGGTAGTAATCTGGAGAGTATTACCTTTTTGGTTCTGTTTTCCAGTATAACCCCTAGCTGCTCATATTTCCTCAGCAGAACCTCTTTCCTGTTTCTGACTATATCATTGCTACCTACATGGACCACATCAACTGGATCATTCCCTACCTACTCCAAGTTCCTCTGCAGGCCAGATGAGATAGCCTCTGGGCACAAGGCAGCCTTTGGGACTCAATCCTGGTCACAGAGAATAGTGTCTATTGCCTTGACCATACTATCCTTGATTACAACTACATTTCTCTTTTCTCCCCTCTCTTGAATGGCCCCCTGTACCACAGTGCTATGGCCTGTTTGCTCATCCTCCCTACGGTCCTCAATCCCATCCACACAGGGAACAAGAATCTCAAACCTGTCAGACAAGCTCAGGCTCCTTCAGCACTATCTCCTAGATCCCTCTAGCTGCCTTGCTTGTAGCCACACCCTCTTGTCCCTGGCCACAGTTAATCTAAGGGGTGTGACTGTCCCCTGAAACACAGCTTCCAGGTAACCCTTCCCCTCCCTGATGTGTTTGACGTGCAGGCTCCAGCTCATCACCTCTGAGCCAGAGTTCCTCAAGCAACCAAAACCTGTTACAGATATGGTCCCAATGAACCACAATGGGGTCCATCAACTCCTACATAATGCAATTACAGCACATCGCCTGGCCCTGCATCTCTTTTTTTTAAACTTTGTGTCCAGTATGACTCCTTATTGAACTGAAGAATAGGTTGAAAAGCCATACACAACTTTTCGTCTCTCAATCCAGCTCTGAAGAAGAGTCAGATTGGACTTGAAACATTAACTATGTTACTCTCTCCACAGATGCCACTATGGTTTTCCAGCACTTTCTGTTTTTCTTTCAGACTTCCAGTGCCTGCAGTATATTTTGCTTTACTTTAGGTTTGTGATAGACGACTGCACAGATGGAAATGGTTGAGGAAGGTATCTGTTCTGATCACTGAGGAGAGAGCTCATTGTCCA